GACCATCCACTAATATTGTTATTCATTATTTAATTGATAAATTACGGTACTCTGTTGGATGCGTGTGAAAAGTAAAAAAAAAAAAACAAGAACTAGATCTAGATGAAATTGGTCCAGGCATGCAAACGTGTCGCTCTAACGCGGTGTACGAACATTTATTTTTATTAAAACCCTACTCATGGTTTAGACAGATTAGCCCACAGTACATTACAATATTATCATTAAGCAGACAAGAAGATTTGCCATGGAGGTATTCCAATTTCTAGGTACACAGACTCTCATTAGCTAATATGTCTGCCGCCTGGAGCAAGTAGCTTACATCTGCATACTTGGATTTATTACGACTTATTTTATATCTCAGTACATCAATCTATTCGTTAGTGCTGTTTAATGGTATTTTTATTTGGGTGCGTATAGGATGACAATTAGGCCAATTGATCGGATTTTCTGATTGAGAGACTTCCATTTCCACTTCTGTTTGTGGACAAATTAATTACTAAAAATGTCTCTTTACCTATACCTGACGATCCTGACAATGGTCTTATTGATTGATAACATACAGCCTGTCCTGACCGTGGAGGAATGAAACAGATCATTATGCTAAATTTGACTCATTATTTTTGGTAATTACACTTTATCGTGGTTTATTCATCCAAATTAACCTTTTTTTCCATTTATGTAACACACAACGTTTGTACCATTGGTGAATTATGCATATAGGCCCTAATTATTTTCTTGAATTAACAGTCAAACCATGGAGGTTTTTTTTCAACCTCCATTGTCAGACCATAGAGAAAATAGAATATTTTCTCTATGGTCAGACTGACCGTGGAACAGCGATGTCCATTAAAACACAATCCAAGTTATGAAATGGTTTTGTGAAAATGATAGGGCGCCCTCATGACGAATTGCAGCGAATTGTAATGTTTATTTTTTGTCAGTTCACGACCGATCATTAGTAAAGTTTAAAACAGGTTATACCAGCCCCCCCCCCCATGCTGTTATCCTATTCCCCGGTATTCAACCCCCGGCCCGCAGACCATCTCCGCCGGCGCCAAAGATTTGGTCTGGCCCGCGCACAACACTGCTAAAAAATAAATCTTTTTTTTCTGTTAATAAAACACGACCACCTACTGTAGCATAATTAACAAGAGTCTGGCTTTTTCTGAGTGTAGCTCACCGAGTGGCGAATATAGACGTGGAGAGGAGCAGGATTATTAAAAAGTGTAAGTGCCGATATGCGCTATGCGCTGGTACCGCACGTTCACCTCTTCCACACCTCTGTCTCTTATACACATCTAGATGTGTATAAGAGACAGGGGGGAACGCATGTCATTCTGTTGAAAACACTGCTTTGAAATCTTATTTTTACAGTCTCAAAAGTATCATTTCCGAGAGTCTAGAGGTGTATATTTAAAAAATATGTTAAATAGGTTAAATGTGTGCCCTTTTTGGGGGCATCGGACTCAGCGTCGGGAAATTTCTGGCGCTGGCATTGTTTTATCTATTTTAGTACATACGTGCATGTGTTTGTGCTCGATACATTTCTAGTGGTAGGGTAAGAAAACTAGGTGTGTAAATTTTGTTTATCCCATGATCCAAACCCATCCCCAAGCTGCTGTTCTTCCTCTTTTTTTGCAAAACATGACTTGTATCATAATATTTGATGCTCAAAAACCAAGGCTTATAGTAGGCCTAACCTTTAAAATTGAAGAAGTACACAAACTATGTCGGCCCGTCATTGGTCTCCACAGATTGGAAATGGACACCAGCTTTAAAAGGTTGAATACCTGAGCTATATATCATGTTATAGGGCCTATATCATTTTCATTTTAATCAGTTTTTTCGATTCTTACTTTTGAATCTATTGATTAAAAAGCGTAATCGCATTGAAATGATTCGTTTACGATTTCTCTGTTATGGAGAAGATGAAAGCTTAGTTTGAGATTTGATCTTGAAGTGATTTTGTAAATTGTCGCCGAACACTAATAATTGACTTTATTCTCAGTGAATTATCAGTGAAGTTTTGCTAATTGGTTTTCTGCAGAGGGCGCGCTTCCAGAACCATTAGCTATGAACACTTCAAGAGCGCTTATGTATATAAGCTACTAATAGGCCTATGTTTTTTATTTATTTATTATTTCTTTATTCTGAATACAAAATAACATTCAAGGATTAAAAACATAATAGAGTACCAAAAAAGACAAACTTATTTGTGGTTCAAAATATTAAATATACAATACAGAATAAGAAACAATCAATCAAACATTAATACAATAGTTAATTCAAAGACAAAACAAATTAAGCATCACTTAATTTTAACATTTCATTATAATATTCTTTACATTTCTTTTTAAATAATTGAACTGAAAAGGAAGTGAATTCCATATTTGAATGGCTGTAATTTGGTAGGTGCACGTGTTGTTAGTTCCAGTGATCGGCACTTGGAGTGAGAGGCTGTCACTTGAAAATCGAGCCTTGTGATTATGAACGTGTGTGTCTAGCCAGGTTAGCTGTATTTAGGTAATTTGGAGCAATATTATTTATGATTTTGTATATGTTATAGCTATTCTTTCTTGGACTCTAAGATTCGTGCGTTATCTTCTTAGACTATCAGTTATTTAGACCTGCCTACCCGGTTTTTATAATTTTTGTTTCTTGAATTACTTATAGGCCTATTGTTTTGATGGTGTACTGTTTTGTTGTGCTGCTCCAAATTAGTATTATATAGTAGGCCTCAATAGTATTGGTGTTATTCGAACAAACACCCCGCGTTGAATGGAATAAACGCCCCCTCCAGAGCCTCATTTGGAATAAATGCCTCCCTCGGATAAACACCCCGGGCGTTCTTTATTTTTTCCTCGAATAAACGCCTTCCCCCCGCCAAATGACAAAAAATAATGGAAGTGACATCACTCTCAACACATTCGATTCATGTTCTAATCCAGTAGTACGGTATTACATTTATTCTAACCTGGTTAGGATCTATAATTCTTTATGATAACGCAATAACACATTTTGGCGGTAATTAGCCTATGTGTTGTAGATCCACATTTACAGTCAAATTAAGGGGCGTTTATTTGAGTATAGGCCTATTACATATCCATTGTACATTAAACGGCTCTCTCGCACATAAACGCGCCCTCAAAAACCCTTTTCAACAATAAACTTCCGGGACGTTTATTCGAATAAATACGGTATTATTGGTACAGCGAAAATTTGTTGTACTGTACTGTATTGCCACAGAGAGGGAAGCAGATTTTTTGTGAGAGAAAGAATACCGTTGAAGTAGTGTTGAAATTTAGCTTTATTTTTTTATGTTTTGAGTTACGGACACTCTTTTGAAAGGGTGCTGCTGGTGTAAAAATGAATTTCTAGAAACATAATTGTTATTACGACGTCGGACTTCAGATGTTAACAAGATCTATTCAATGTTAAATTATAAATTTACGTTACTTGTAAACCTGGCTTGCCATAGAGAAAAGAAACAGAATATTACAAATTGTTTATGCATTTATTAAAATCATGATATAGCTAGTAATTATACAAAGATGAAAGACCATGGTAGCAGTCAACTATTATTTGATTTGTATACACTTTTTTTAAAAATTCAAAACAATATTGTACTTTGCCATGCAAACCTTCAAACAATGATATTGTATTGATGAATATTATAGAATACCTGTTGAATGAATAATGCATGTGTAATTCAGACACAGTTCCCTCAAAACACATTTTCTCTCAACCATATCGACCAAATTAATATGTACCGGGTGACGTCAATTGAGACGTCCATGAGAATGTCAAATGGAATAATTTTATAGAGAAATTTGAAAGTTCATATCCTTCATCTGAGTTTAATATATAGTTCTGTTCTTTAACAACACTTTAGTGCTTGGCAAATATACTCGACATCTCTAAATTAAATATGCCTCCTGTCTGTAGGTCGACCACGGTAGTGCCGAAGTCTTAGAAAAATATAAATTCCTGCAAAAATATATAGTAACAAATTAAAATCGTATTTAAAATAGAAGGATATTATGGTAAACATTATATTGTCTTCATCAGTATGAAAACCCACTTAGATGTAGGTTCGATACCGTAATAACCCATTTGGTTAGAACTACTGTATTCAGATAATAATAATGTAGGTCTAAATTCTTCATTCACAATTCTAACAGGTGCATTACACTTTTTTTTCCCCTCCAACCACTTTGCTCATCCACAATATAAGAACATAGTTCATTACACAACTGGTTGTAGCATCAATCATTTGGAACAGAATTCATAATCAAACGAGCAAACAAAACCGCAATAAAACTCGCCCTGGCAATATCGTTAGTAGTAGGCCTCTATCATAACTGTCCATCAGTGCACCATTATTAGTAATTATCAACGTCTATCAACTCGATCGCTCGCACAGAGTTTCAGTCAGGTTTGTTCGGCGAGAGTTCACAAGCATCTAGGCCCTTCGTAACGACCATTTCTGTCTTAGCATATTTATAAGTAATTAACGTCTAGGCTCTAGTTATTTGACTACAAAGCACAGACTTATCGAGTATACTCTAGGTTCATTTCGCATTTTACAATATTTCTGAGTTTTTGCGTGTAGGCCTATTAGTACTGGGCGCAAGTGGTGATCCGAACTTTCAAAATAAAAGTAGGCTAACTGCATACATGATTCACATGTACTTATCTGATTCTTGCAAGCGTCCGTTTGATCATCCTCTGTGCGTATATAGTCATTTCGATCACTAAATATTAATGTTGTAGCCACCTCGTATTGATTTCTGATTTTTTAAACGTTAAACATCGATGATTCAATCTTCCTAATTCAATTTAGTGTATGAACAATTTGCATAAGTTTAATTTGCACTTTCTTTCGGCTGAATCATAACTCTCATCAACCACTTTTTCACTGTATTATGTAATTGTGAATGGTTACTTAGCAACCGCATGAAGCCTTTCGCTTATTTGCTAATGCTCGCTGTGTCTTTCAGGTTGACTTTTCAAACGTCGTCGTGGTGTGACGTCGATTAGTATGCCATTGCCGCCAGAGGAGGAGGCCGACACCACTTGTCCGTCGTGTATCGGGGGTTTTGCTACTCGGACTATGGGTAACGGGGCGAGCGTCACGCCCCAGAAAACAGACCCTGATCATCAACATTCTACTGACAATACTGAAGTAATCAAGCTTAAAAGCCAGGTAATTGATCTACAGAAACAGGTAAGGGGTTACGAGGAACAATTAAAGTTATACGCAGCAGAAATCAGAAATAGGAACTCGGTAATCGATGACAAGGGTTATGAGATATCACGACTTCGCGAGGAAGTCAACAAACTAAAATCAGTCTTAAAACTAACCACCGAAAGCAAAGATGGAATTCCGGATATATTATCAACGATTCACGAGGAAAGTGGCATGGCAGGGTCGGGCACCACAAAGGATCGTAATAAAAAGCAGGGTGTTTCTGGTGAGAGTGGCGATCATCATTTAACTGCCAAGCCCGTGGAACTGACCCGTTATCCAAAGGATTTTAGGTAAGAGAAGCCATAACGAATGTCTATTGTTGCTAGATTTGATTGTTCTGTTCTGTGACACTGTTTACATGCGCGTATTATGTTACCAAGAGGTCGGTGTAAGGCCCTGTTCACACCGCCAAGTTTCCTGTGACATTTACATGTGATGTTCCCCAAATATAGACATAAAGGTGTCATATCGCACCCATATATGGGGCAAATCACAGGTATTTGCCATATGGTAATGTGGACTAAAACTCTTTAGGATGAAAGACGCCCGGTTGTTGACCACTTATGATGAAAATGCCCCTGGTCTGTTTAGGTTTCTTCTCAACTTGTTTGCTTTATTCGTTTACACTTAAACTGGGGTCAAACCTGCTCCAGTTAATACGAATCTTAGCAGTCGCTCTGTAGTGCCACTACGATGTTTACACGACTGAAATGGTTGTTCTCGTGACTTAAATACCACTGCGCATGCTTATAATTAAATATAGGGCTAAGTCAGCATCAATAGAATTGTTGATGTTTAAACGGAATGTTGACCAATGTGCATTTGTGACTTCTTCACTGTAAGCTGCAATCAGCGTATCCAGCAACGTCTGAATATCCAGCCTCTATATAAAAT